CACCAAATCGAAGTCGGTGAGGGAAGTTTAAACGCGATAGATGCGACACAAGTCCGCCCCCTCATGATCTAATTCACATGCAAGTCTCGTGTGATATGCCCACACGTTTGACACTGCCGCTTGCGATAGTCAACCAGTCACCAAATGAAGGACTCACTATTTGTAGCCAACTGAATAGGATTTTTCTCTTAGGCGTCCTTTTAAGTTGATAGTTTGAAAAATTGCAAAGCTTTTCCGTCTATTCTCCCCTTTGTTTGTGTTTTTAGGTCGCAGTAATAGCTGTATACAGTTACTTTATCTGTCAGATAATCGGCAGTCAGTACGTGAAACGAAATGGCACGCTCACTATCGCCAGTCATTCCAACGCTCTGCCTGTGCCAATCTTTGGCGTGTTCTACTTCCTCTTCCTCATGGGATGGCTGAAGGTAGGTAGTCTGAATTAAATTATCGACAAAGACAAAGGCGGTTGGAGTGGACATTTCTGGCTTATTAGCCGTCGTCAGCCAGTCATACTAAGCTCCAAGTGGTGCATTACCTGAGGCTCGAACTCACGATCTGTTCGAGTTCGACCAGGAATACTAGGAATAGTAGATGGGCACTCGGATCGGTTCCGGGACCCACTTGTCTCTTATTGTCTTGACGTGTAAAATTTAAAGAAGACGTAATTTTCTGCCAAATAAGTACAAGAAATTATTTTTTCCTGTATGTTTTCCATAAACTATATTTGAATTTATAAAGGCAGTCAAAATCAATGATAAAAACGCATAATACTTAAGTAGTCAGTTTTTACAATCGATACGTTTTGTCTGTGGTCAGCACGAAGCTCGATAAAAAGCCCGTGTCCTATCATGACTAAAATATTTTCAGAATAGACTACACGATAATCAGTATCACAACCTGAGTCAATGCCGATTGACGATAATCAGTATCACAACTTGAGTCAATGCCGATTAGCGAAAGAGTATCAGATCTTTCGCATATGTTGGCCTGTGGCACGAATTCTGGCGCGTACTGTATATAAACAGAATTACATTACTGACAAAGGTAACCATACCCAAGCCGAAGTATTGTAATGCTATTTTGTCTGCTTTTCTATCTATAATAAACTAGCTGCTGTATGGTTACTTAAGAGGCTTATGTGTGAGCTCCAGGACACAAGGGGACGACCGAGTCCCGTAACCGATTGGTGGACACCTTTATACCATTGGTAAGTAGTCCATCCGCTTCCACAACTTTAGTGTGCCTGATCTGTTTTAAACGACAGTCAGGAAAATAAATATACCGTGGGCGTCATTTTAAGCAGAATGAAAGAAAAGTGCAACAGACTTTTTAGAAAAAGGTTCGATCCTACCCATTGGGTCTGGCTTGCATTTTAGCCAGGATTTTCTCCTTTCAAACAGGTCGCTCTCTGTGTGATGAACCCCTTCGGTGATGACTACGAGGATTTCGAGTGCTCCGAGATTCTGGACTACAACTTGGATGTCAGTTACAGGGCTGTCCTGTTAGACGAATCGACTTTCCCAGATAGCCTGAAAAGGGCAACCTTCGAGGCCAAGCCGATGGCCGGGGCGGAGGATGATAATCTGCAAGAATTCCTCGAAAACACTACCAGGGAAATCCAAGCGGCCTATAGCAATGAGGAGATAAACGAGTGGGTTTACAACGATGCTCTAACTTTGGTGTACTATTTTTTTGGAGACATTAGACATAGTGGTAATTATAATGGCATTAATCGAGCTAGAGGCAGTATAGGAAGAATATTAGCCGAACAACAACATGTGCATCTGTGAGATCCCGAGGGGTGCATACGGGGCGGGGAAGAGGGCAAAGACCAGAAACCACCTTTACCAGCTCGAGTGGCCTGTTCATCTGTCGCAAGTTATAGCGTCGACCACGGAAGGCTTCCCCAAATCAAGGCAGGC